TTTTTATAATGTCCCAGCCGAACCGGTAATGCGATATTTCACCGACACGGGAGTGTATACAAAATTGACAGGCCGCCATTTACGTCAGATTACATAATGCCATAGATTGATTATGTGCCCACGCACAATACTTTTATTATGTGCAAAGAAAAATTTCTTCTTTGTGGCCCCCGCTTAAGATATACGAGGTTCGGGGTTTTTTTCAATCTGCCGGAGGCAAATGAGGTTTACATAATACACACGCCCTGGAGCAGTGCATGTACACTCTTCCTGCTGTGATCAGATGTATATTAAACCTTTTCGGACGATCGGCGGATATATCAGCCATATCCTTTACACAGTCGCCGCTAGTCTTTTTCAGGCTGAGCCGTAAAAGCTTTAGTTATGTAGAAGCATCACTTGTGTTACCTAAATACCCCACAATATAACAATACACAACAAAAATCTCCGTTAGACTTGCTAAAAACGAGCTGTACAGATATCCAAAATCGGCAAGTATGGAGCAACATGCAATAGTGCACAGCAGCCTGTTGGGTTATTATGCAAGAAAGATTGATTACATGCAGCGCGCGCGGGATTACGATGCTAATGTACACAGATTGCTCGGTAATTGGGCTTTTGGTGTTTCGGATTATTCCATCTTTAGCAAATTGCCGTCCAACCCTCCCGTCGCTCCTCTCGCGGCTTCACGAAAATTGATTTCAACCCCCTCCCCCTTCCACCGACGATCATGCTATGAAAATTACACAGACACGGAAACAAATAAAAGCAAATTACGTAACGCAGCAAGAAAAACTAAAATATAAATTACGTGCACGACAGAATTGCATGAAAATTGGCAATATCCGATGGCAAAAGTAAATACCGGTGCCCGTTAATTAAAAATCACATGCGTATTGTAATATCATGCATTGTTGCGCCAAATGAAATAACCGATTATTTATTTACTTTTTTTTTTTACTCTCGTTTTATTTTTTTTTGTCCACCGATATTAAACTGACCCTAATAACGAAACGATTTGCGATTATTGCGATCATATAGAAAAAATACATTGGTACAACCAGTCGTATCGAAATGGAACAATTTTCACATTTTTAGTGGACAAAACATGATTCGAAATTTTACAAAAAAAAAAAAAACGTA